ATTGTGGGAAACTCTATGACTCTAGCCGCCCTAACTAGGGTGTTCTGTGGTACCAACGCCTCCTAGATTTCTTGTGCCTGCCGTATTATTGGCAGTTACATGGGAAGCGGCGGTCGTCGAAACTATGGTGGTGGCGCTACTCAAGTAGGGGTGTTTTCAAATAGGTTTTTACGTTTTTGAAGCTTATATGCAACAAAAATAACGTAAAAAGTTTAAAGCAGGCGTAAACGTAATTATAGTTAACCATACGAAAGTGACGCCGTCATTCAGCAAGCAAATTTTTAAATACAAGGCATCCTCTAATATTAGTAATGAACGCCAAAATTGCGAATCTCGAAGGCCAACTACAAAAACCCTTACTCCTATGTAGGCAGCGCTGCCATAGATGATCGGCGTTTCGCGCTAAAGGAGGCACTGGTAGACTGTGTGGTAGTTCAGAGGCGGAGGCAGCGGAGATGTCTACCGCTGCAAAAACCGTATCATGCTACGAAAACGTAGATGAAGAGACTTTCAGCTCGCTTATATTTCCTAAGGTATGTTTGTGTGTTCATTTTTCGCAGTGAACCGACGGAGGCTGTGGCAACTCGTCTCGAGCTTCTATGTCGTCGAAACATATGTGCTATCATGCTTGCTTTCGACGAACCTGGGTGATGCGACTCGTCATTCATTTCTCCGGTTTCTCGCTCGCGTAGGGTCGGTTAAGGTGTTCCCCGGACGGCCACAGTGGTGCTCCCGCTACTCGACGTGATGACCAAATTCTTCTAGAAGGGTCTGTTTATCCTTTTACCTATAACCTTAACTTTCCGAATAATAAACAATTATAGATTGCCGAATTTTTACGTTATAGACCGTTTTTCTGTTTCCAAAGCGGCATCTCGTTTTCTAGATCTGTGCAAACAAGAGCTAGGTGTCCCGCAAACAGCAGTCCTTCCCCCGGTGTTGTTCAACATTTCGATTAGCTATATTCCGCGACATTTAGGACGTCCACACACCACACGTGGACGACATTGCGTTTTTTTTTTTTCATCAGCAGATAATATTCATAAGCTATTCCGAATATTGCAGTCATACCTATCAGCCGTAGAAAGGTGGCGTGATGTTTTACATCTGTATTTAAATGTCAAGAAATGCTCTGGTTTAATATTTCCTTACCAAGACCCTGTTCACATATTGATTTTATTCCCCAAGTAGTGAATGCGAAATATCTTGGGGTAATTTATGACCAATCTAAGTCTTGGAAGACGCACATTGAATATATTGCAGCAAAGGGAGGTCGGGTGGCGGGATTGTTAAGCAAAATCAGTAATAGACGTTTAGGTATGCAGGGAAATACTCTTATTTCCGTGTATTGCATTATGTTTGCCCGGTGCTTGAGTTTGGGTGTGTGTTATACGTCTGGGGCATCGGCATACAAGATGCATTATCTGGTAGTCGTCGAGAGACAAGCCTTGAGACTGTGTTTAGGTCCCGCTAAGTTTGTAGCAATCTGAGGCGGAAATGTTGTAGGCCAGTGTGCTCAGATTTGGGTGCACGTTAAAGAACTTCAGGTGGTCGAAATTTCCGGAGCCCTCCACTACGGCGTCTCTCATAATCAAATGGTGGTTTTGGGACGTTAAACCACACATATCAATCAATCAATCAATCAAGTTTGTAGCAATCAATTCTAAGTCCTTTATCTGCAAGCTAGGCTTCCCTTGGTTGCTACCCATTTTAAATGATTGTTGACACAGTCATTTTTCAGGCTGTATGATTCACCGGTAATGTGGTTAGAAACAGTTCTTTTTGTCCGACTGGACTTGGTTTATAAACAATACTGGCCGAGATTTTATACGCCTCAAATTCTGGTTATACAGCACTTTCTGTATAAATTAAGCATTGAAATTAATGCCATACCTTCAATCAGTACCACTAACAATGCTGTTAAAATACAGTTTGATGATATATTTCTAAAAAATTCAAAATTGATTCTGCCAATTTCTTTAAAAGCTATATTAAGGGATTACCTGGTACTTACATCAATACAAGCAGTCATGGCAACTGATGCGTAACAAAGTGAAAAATGTAGAATGGGTATTTTTTTCTCCTACCCTAGATTGGTCCTTTTCTCTTTGCGTTCCAGATTTTGTGCCCATTTTTGAAGCAGAATTTTCGCAATAATTCTAGCTCTCCATAAAGTAACGGCAGCAGTAAGTTCGGCAGTAATGTCTCTCTCTTACTGCAACTGAGAACTCACATGCTCTGAGTGCTTTCAAAGCATTAGTTTTTTTTATCCAATTGGTGTGGGTTCCAGGATTTAAGGGCCTATTTATGAATGAAATGGCAGGTGCACTGGCAAAGTCATCTTTAAATGGGCCTGCTATTGAGGTATTACCAGCAACAAAATTCATTATAGGTGTTAATTAAGAAGGAAATTAATTGCTGTTCGATGAATTCTCTGCACCTTCACTAATGGCCAGATCAGAATTCAAGCACTTCATGTATCATTGTAATCATAAGATATGTCATACTCAAGTAATGGAAGTCGCAATCACTAGCCTGTATTGTAAAGATCTGCAGCTAAATTTATATTTACACAGAGCTGGTCTGTCAGCGTCCTCCTCGTTAGAGTCCGGAGAGAATCTGCGGGGCAGGCTCGCTACGCCAAGTACAGCGAAGGCGGTGCGTGCCGGTACAAAAGCAGGTTTTTATTTTTACCGCTGCTCTAAACTAAATTTTGCTAAAGTCTAGCAAATCATCCATGTTGTTATTGCATAGTGAAAAAATTTCAAGAACTTGTGTTGAACAATTCAGAACACAGGCGTAGCATTTTTTATTCTTTCGGACATATGTCACTTTTTCCTTGGCCTGTGTCATGCGGCACTTGTCTTTGCTGATATTTTAAAATACATGTGATTGATACGAAATGGTGAAATCACGGATTATATCATCATATAGAAATGCCGATGATTAAGCAAGTGAACTTGCTTCATACATAAAATGGACATAGAAATTCCCTCAAAGAACGCCCACGGCTGACTGTAAGTGGGCTCTTTTTTGTTATGTGAATGTGATACATGTTCGGTCTCAACACACAGCAAGTTATCTTTTCATCCACTTTTCTTTCTTTGCACTTACATTAGTTCTAATACTGACCCTTATACTTTACTTGGCGTGATTGTCTGTTAGATCTCATTAATACTGTGTCTAACAAAGAAAGCGAGCCCTTAGATGTACATTTCTTTCTTTGACTACTGGTGTCATAACAGCAATGTTTTTGTGCAGGGCATTAGAGGTAACGACCAGTATCAATTAATTGGTAAAAAAAGAGCCCCAAGTTGGCAGACTTTAGAGACCGTTCTATGATTAAGCTATGAAATTTTGCATGGCTTTAATGTTTTAGCAAGTTGATAATTCTTGAATGTGCAGGCAATTAGACAAGGCACGAAAAATTATGGCCCAGCCGGTGTGACAGGCAAATGAAAACATGGAGCCATCCCCATTCTTTAAATATAGGAAACGTGCAATGAGCCAGTGAGTGAACGAAAGAAATTGGCGTGATGCGTGCAGCAGCCGAGTGTCGCCTTGTTAGTGGTACTTTGCAATGTAGCGTATGAATTGCACAAATTGTGCAATAACTATAGGAAATATACACCTGGAACAAAGTTCTCCGTCATGATTGTGCTTAAGAAACCGGCGGGAACACTCCATTAGCGTGTGCTACGTGAAGCAAATGATCCCACAGGCACATTTATGAAGTGCACGCTGTAGCTATTTCAGTGTAAATTTACTTTCCCTGCAAGTCAGCTGATATTTTTACCATATTGAAGAAAATGAAGGGGAGCCGCAAAAGTGATCTTGAGTCTGCAGTCCTCAATTTGTTGGCGAATCGACAGATCCAGCAATTCTCCCTCATATGCTGCTTCTGTGTTTTTGCTGTGCTGCAGTTCATAAACAGTTAAATGAATGAAGACATACTGCTTACAGAGCAAAATTAATCTCAGACCGTGAGAATGTCAGAATTTATTCCCCATGTACTGTCCTTAACAGCACTGTGCGTGCAAGTGACGCAGGACTATGCTGTTTTTGACGCAGGACTATGCTGTTTTATTGCATTAAGCAACAGATATTGTGTGCAAAGCTGCCACATGACAAATTTAATCAATGACTCATGCAGCTCGAGCAATGCCTAGAAATGGAGCTGAACTACTTCACAAAACTTTATGCAAATGACATGCATTATACTAAATGCAACACGTGGGGTTTCACGATCGTATGTATTACTTGCGCTCATAGCAAGGAGTTGTCAGGAACTATTAAACGCCATAGTTTCAACAGGCTAAATGGCAAGAATAATTGTTTATAAACATTGATGGTGATGGTTTCTAGCTTAACACCAGCCAGCCACATCAATAAAAAGACTCGTCCTCATGTGTGTGCCACATCAAAAACATGATAAATTGAGTTATGTCCTTTATTTTTGCTCGGGACCCCCACTAAAATCATGCACTTATTTTTATGGAAGCTCACCAGTTTAATTAAACCTGTCTCCTTTGCACTTGCATACAATGTAGGTTGCTTTTGCCGTGTTTGCACCAGCAAGCTGTTTACTCGGCAGCAGCTCGCGAGTCCGTGGCAGCGGCGCATGCGTTGAAGTTTCTGTGTTTGGTGACACTGCTGTCTTATTTCCTGTTTGAAAGGACTTATTCATGTGGACCGTGCGAAGTGCGTCACAGTTCTGTGTGCTTACGTGGCTGAAAGATGTACGTGCTAGGTGGTGATAGTTGCGCTCGGCAGCTTGCTTTTTTTTTTTTTTTTGAACTCTCTCAAACCGAAACTGAGACTAGTCGGTAATGAAGAGCCTGTAATTAATTATCTTTATCAAATGTTACACGAAACTATATGCCGTGTTATGACTAGCACGCCAGTTGAAACTAAAGTGATCGCAAGTTGTCACTTGTGGTGCTGGCACTGCATAGGTGCAGTGCACTGCTGCACCCCTTGCAGCTGCTGCATGCTTCCCATATGCGCGATAAACTTGTCTCTGGCTTCGAATTTTAAAAAAAATATATATATTTTACTAGTGTAAATATTGTTAGAAATTTTGCAAAAGAAATGGGTCAAGACTTTATGGTAAAAACTTCTTTTTTACGTTTTCTCTAATTGAGTCATGATATTAATGCAAATTAATAAAATGTAGCAATGAAAAAACAGTCTTTGAAAAAAATGCTATTCTTTGACTTGCACTTTGATTGCAGCAAAACAACCTTAAAATGTATGCTTCTACTCCTGAATTTCTGCCAGAAGCCTTTCAATTTTCATATAACGATGCCATGCTGGTAAATCTGTCGGTATGTAAATTCTTGTAAACCATAGAAAGTTCAATACAAAATGTTATATTTCAGATAATGAAAAAAAAAAAGACTGGCACTATTCATAGCTTGCCACAATGAAACTCACTGACGTGCAAAAGTTTCAAGGTGTGAAACCTTATTCTGCAGAGTTGCTCTAAGTGCTCATATTATAGACTGAGTAAGCGTTGAAAAGGTGGGCTAGTTTATGCTTAGGTCAAAGACAAGGTTAATGGCACAAGCATGGAAAGAAAACAGCACCTGTCTATCCTGTGATGATGCTCGTAATAGGCTGAAATATGTGGCGCAATGTTACCAATGAGAAGAGACAGAAAGAGCACCAACTCACATGTAAGTTTATTTTCGTGAAGCATTCATAATATATAGGCTCTTGGAGGACATGCGCAGACCATTTCATTCACCGCACGTGCAGGCATGAACATTTTGATGATGTAATAAATGATTATTGCAACCATGATATCTGGGAACCAGCAACAAACAGATATGCCAGATGTAAAGACGTCGAAAAAACCAAACACGCCCAAGCATGCGCAAAAAAAATGCGAGGATAAAAATAGCAAAAACGACTGACACACACTTCCTAGCAACCATCTAAAGTACATCTAGATCCAACAGTTGGAATTCACTATTATGCAACAAAACTGAAGGCGCTCTGACGCACGAGTCACCTTTCTTCCTTATGTGAAAGGCTTCAAGTAACTCCCGCGCCAGCGCATCCCGGCTCCTTCCAAGTAGTTGGGTGCGATCGAACTGCTGGGTGCAGCCACACGAAGCACAGTGGTAAGGCAAATGAGACCCTGTTCCATTCCTAATTGATAAAAAATGCTCCCTTAAACGGTCATTTGTACAGTGCCCTGTATGGTCTATATAGACCTTGCCAAAGCTCAGGGGAATTTCATAAACAATGCCCACAGCACAATGCAGGAAGAGCTTTGCATACTTCTTATCGCACACTGCCTTGGCACCTCTTGAAGAAATGCGGGCACAGAGCCTTGAAAGCTTATTCGGAGCAGAGAAAACCACAGGCACATGGTGCTGATTTGCAACCTTTTTCAGGCTGTGGGAGATTTTGTGCACGTATGGTACAACATGCGGTCTTTTCCATTGTCCTTGCCATGGCTCTGGCCTCCTGCATTTCCCTTTCAGCCTCTGAAGCAAAGTTTCAGGCACACTGACTAAGACTGAATAAGGAAACCCAACTGCAGTGAGCCGCGATAACTGACAGGAAAAACTATCACACACTGTGTGCTGGCATGACTTGGACAGCGCAGAACGAAAACACATAGCAGCTATAGACCTCTTCACCACTTTAGAATGTGCAGAATAATATGAAAGAAGTCCTTTTCTCGTTCTAGGGCTGAACTTTCAACAGACATGACCGTCCCCCAGAGTCAGGTTAATATCTAAACACTGCAAGCTTTCGTCAATGGGCAGTTCATGGGTAAAAAGCAGGCCTTTTCCACGTTGTCGGAACAGCTTCAAAGCCAAATCTACCTCGCTATAGTGCGTTACAGGGTTAGTAGAAGTTAACACCACGAGGAAATCATCCACATATCTAAGAGTCTTAGGGACTTTTCCTGGATCAACGGCATTTGCTAAAGCACGACCAATAGACGCAAAAAAAAATGCTACAAAGAACAGGTGCAATGCAGGAGCCAATACAAATGCCTTTGCTTTGCATAAACAAACCATTATTAAATGAGACAAAGGTGCTATGAAGGTAAAATTCTAAAAGTGACATGAAGTTTGAAACGGATACGCCAGAAGTATTGATAAATGTTGTGCCCCCATGTTCCTCGATACAGTCCCTTACACAGGATAAAAGTTCATTATGAGGCACTGAATGAAAAAGATCCTCAACGTCAATTGAAAAAAAGATAACTGATGTCACTTTTGTTCTTCAAGAAATCTATGACGTCACAGGAGCTTTTTATTGCGAAAAGATTTACAAATGCTAAAGTATTTAAATTTTTAAACAGATAGCGACTCACTTGCAGCTGCCAAGTAGCATTTTCTGTCACAATTGACCTAAACGGCCTGTCAACTTTGTGCGTTTTTACATTGAAAAACACTTCCAAGGAAGTTTTCTTGCATTCAAAAACTGAAAAACGCAGGAGGCTAGAGCCATTGCAAGGACAGAGGAAGAGACCGCAGGTTGTACCATTCATGCAAAAAATCTCCCACAACCTGAAAAAGGTTGCAAATCGGCACCATGTGCCGGTGGTTTTCTCTGCTCCGAATAAGCTTTCAAGGCTCTGTGCCCACATTTCTTCAAGAGGTGCCAAGGCAGTGTGCGATGAGAAGCATGCAAAGCTCTTCCTGCGTTGTGCCGTGGGCACTGTTCATGAAATTTCCCTGAGCTGTGGCAAGGTCTACATAGGCCAGACAGGGCACTGTACAAATGACCGTTTAAGGGAGCATTCTTTATCAATTAGGAATGGAACAGGGTCTCATTTGCTCTACCACTGAGCTTCGTGTGGCTGCACGCCACAGTTCGATCGCACGCCACAGTTCGATCGCACGCGACTACTTGGAAGGAGCCGGGATGCGCTGGCGTGGGAGTTACTCAAAGCCTTTCACACAAGGAAGAAAGGTGACTCGTGCGTCAGCGTGCCTTCAGTTTTGTTGCATAATAGTGAATTCCAACTGTTGGATCTAGATGTACTTTAGATGGTTGCTAGGAAGTGTGTGTCAGTCCTTTTTGCTGTTTTTTTTCTCGCATTTTTTTTGCGCAGGCTTGGGCGTGTTCAGTTTTTTCGACGTCTTTACATCATGTATATCTGTTTGTTGCTGGTTCCCAGATATCATGATTGCAATAATCATTTTTTACGTCATCAAAATGTTCATGCCTGCACGTGCGGTGAATGAAATGGTCTGCGCATGTCCTCCGAGAGCCTATATATTGTGAATGCTTCATGAAATTAAACATAGTTGTGAGTTGGAGCTCTTTCTGTCTCTTCTCGTTCTTCTCATTGGTAACCTTGCGCCACGTATTTCAGCCTAATATGTACCAACTAGCCCACCATAGCATACTGTTATGCTCGTAAGCCTTTCATCAAAAGAGATTTTATGGCACCCAGCGAGATAAAACTGACTAAAAATCATTCGTTGCATTTGGATTTCTTTCCGACAATGGTGCAGAGCGATGCGACCAGCACAGAGTCGCTAGGGTCAAGCAGGCGCAACTGCTCTCCCAATGCCTGAGGCGCTCATGGCGGCTCGTAGTTAGAAGGTACCTGTATCGCACCTGCTGGCAGCGTACGCTCGCACTGTGTGGGTCTCCAAGTTAAGCAAGGAGAACTTGCCTCTGCATAGCCCCATGTTAGAATCGCAGCTGTCTGGTAAAATAGACCTGCCAGTACTGATGTAGAATGAGTTCACATCATTGGCAGACTGCCAGTAAAGTTATTTTTTTTAATTCACTTACTTTCCACTGCATCAAAGGTAAGGTTCTCTTCGTTTATTAAGGGTGGGGGGGGACCCACAAAAAAAATTTTGTAATATAGAGCTCTGTTATGCTGTAGCTACATTTTGTGTTCTATATTCATTATTTCATTGCGCACTGAAAACTACATAGCACTGCGATCAGCTGGCTTTTCATAGGGTGAAATGTGAAAATATGTTTATAAATTAGTCGAAAGCCACACAATTATAACGACGTTGAAATTTCAGAATCCATACTTTCTTCAAAAAGTGTGCAGGGCAAGTAGAGGAAATTGAAAATGGGTTTTAAATGAGAGTGGCTCACGTAGCCAGTACTGTGCCTCTTCTTCTGATTAACACCCGGTTTTGGTTGTCGTACTTTATTTCACTGACTTTGCTGTGTTTCATGTGCTGTCCAGATCTGCGCCACTTATCGAGCAGCTACAAGAGATGAACTTTTACGAGAATGGTGGGCACGGTTTGTTGTCAATAAATCCTCATGTCTCAGTACAGGCTGTAACAAGGCTAGTGGTGAGCAAAACCAGGTTAAAGGCCTATATAGATAACATAATTCACCTAATTAACTCAGAAATAATTGCAATAATTAACTTAATATTGCAAAAATGTTTCCGAACTATGCGTGTGACACCAGGGCCATACCAAGTGAGCAAAAGCCCCTCCCCTATGGTTTGCCGGCACTGCATGCTGCATCTGATTGGGTAAACAACAAGAGAAAACTAACTGCGTATTTCAACTGCCGTAACTAGCAGGAAGGCGATAAAGTGCATAAAAAAAGTAGCGCGCACCAAGTATGCATATATTGCAAACCGAGATTGGGTCAGGGAACTCACCAAGAATGCTTTGGTAAACGGAGCTGTAGTTGCTTCCTCACCATCATTCAAGTGCAGAGGGAGCCAGCAGTGTTACGAGGAGTGCCTGTGGGTCCTTGCACGTCGCTGTGGGACAAGGAGTATTTGTGCATGCACGGGGGCAACCGGGATGTCAAGGTGCACGTATCGCCACACAGGCACATGGACTTCGTCCAAAAGAACTTCATCTACAGGTGATTTTTTCGCATTGTCTACCAATTTGAAGACTTTATTATAGTCTATATGCAGAACATTGCCATTTTGTCAACTTGTGGAGCGAGCGTCCAAGTCAAGAAATACCAACTTCTTCATAAACGAGGTGAGTACAGCATTAAAAAATTGCCTACTGGCTTAAATTCCCATTCTGACGGCAACTCGACACAACTAATATTTGTTGGATTTAAAATACTTGCAACACCTGCAGCTTGGCTTACAAAGTTATGCACTAGTATTTCTGTCAAAAGAATTTGGTTTTGGTGTAAGGGAGTTGGAGTGTGGCATGTGCAGAGATGGTCCAGTTATATGTGAACATCCAGGGAGTCTGACGAACTTCTTCAAGTGCCAGGTGCATTTTTTCGTTCCTGCATTATGTGCCTCGTTTCAGTGGCCTTATTAGAACACTCTCTGTGTGAATAATTTGAGAATTATCTGTGGGGGGATGAAGAACCTGTTGCTAAGACAAGAGCGAAACCTGCTTCCTAGGTGTTCCAAGAGTAGTTTCTATGAATTCTGTGCATGAGGAGGACTCATCTAGTATGCACTGTAGAGGTAGGCCTAATTGCAAAACACACAATATCACCTTATCAGTTATTATCGCCAGCATCATAGTGATAACAAATTTACGACTGCCTCTGCTAAGTCACTCTAGGGCGATGCTTATGTGCAAACTTCTTTCACAATACTTTACCTGAGTGCACCAGTGCCACCATGTGATTGCTGCTATGAATCTCACTTCATGCGAAAACTGGTTTGAAAGCCTTTAAGAAATCAAATACGAAACTAAGTCATCGACACAGTTTTTTCTTGTGAGCGATTTCTTAATTTACATCGTGAAAATGTTACGAGTACTGAATTTAGTTTTGCCTTGTTCTACAACTTAATTTTGTGCGCATATAAATTATTTTTTTTATTGGTTATGTCCTTTCAAGTATCACATTTACTTTGTATGCAGCCATGAACTGCAATATTATTAGAAAAAATATTAAATATCACATTTGTCCTGTTTCACTCCTAATTGTAGTTCACTTGTTATAAATTTTAGCAATAAAACAGATTTACTTTGCATCCTTACCTTTTCAGGATTATTATAGATAGCATTGAGAGCTATTCATGCTTGAGGCATAATCAACGGGATGATAACAGAAACCCTTGAATGTCTGTTTGCCAAAAAGATAATTTTAATGTAATTATTGTTGTTAAGATTCACTTTTTTTTTACCAGACAGAGTTCTACTACTTCAGGACTCTTGGGAGTGACTCCAGAAGAGAGCCAGCCAACATTGTTGCACAATTTCCAGAGCTTGCCAAAGATGTCACATTGCCAAAGTGGTTTCCCGATGAATCCTTTTTCTCCAGTGTTCTTCGAATTGCATCACCTCAGCTCTCCTTGTGGACTCATTACGACGTACGTTTTCTTTCATTACTTCTAGCCTCCTCAGGTTAGGCTTGAGCAATGGCACTTGGGACTTTCATGACAGCCCTGTCACACAGCACATGTGTCATTTGCAGCAGATAAGTGCCTGCGCCATTTTAAAGGCAAAGCATTTCTTTGTGTACTGCAAGCACTTTTGGGATCTATCTATGTATCTATCTATCGATCTGTCCGTCCGTCTGCCCGTCCATTCGCTTACGTCTGGGTGCTCTCGTGATCACCCCCCTAGTATGGGAGAGTCGCCATGTGTAGTGTGGGCAGGAACGCACGTATTCTGTCTTCGTAACTGGCTTCTAACTTGGAAGTGAGGTTGTTCTCCTTGAGAACTATGATGAATTGGATGGATGGATGGATGGAAAGTCCTTTATTGAAAAAAAAAAAGGAGTGAGGCACAGGACCTCTGTGGGGATAAGCAGGACTTTCTAACTACACTACTAGTTCACAGTGTCACGGGTTTCACACTTATTGCATTCACCATCACTGGAACTGAGGCGGTATAGGGTGAGTACTGTGGTTCGTCAGACCCCCTAAACCACTCTGATCAGGCCGCTCTGACTTCCATATTGGGCAAATAATAACTGCATGTCCGGGTCTGTAAGGAGTACTTCACGATAATTTGTGGTTTGCAAAGCTTGTATGGCCATTCGCCCTTTTTCAAATTCGGAACACTGCCACAGTAAGTGGCGAAGGTCTGCGCGGCAGTGCAGCCCGCAGTGGTTGCACGTCACTGTCGCAATGTCCGGTTGTCGCCATTTGGCTAAAGAGTATGGTGTGTATGCAGAATTTGCGTAGACCTTATTAATGAAGACTTCTTGGGAGCGTGAAAGCTCACATTTGCTGAAAAATAAAACTGGTGGGGTAACCTGCGCAATGCGTTTTTTTACTAGCATGACGCAGGGACGTGCGTACGTAGTGCATTGTGGCTACCGAGGGAACCATTTGACTTAAGAGCTCATACGGGCTCACCCTGAGGAATGGGGGCAGAGAAAGATTGGTCGACCCACCTGCGGAAGCAGCAGCAGCGTGTGCCGCCGTATTTCCCCCGGGCACACCCGTATGCCACGGCGTCCAGATAATTTCTATTGGCCTGTCGGCTTTTTCATGCCTACGAATGATGCTTTGAATAGCAGCAGCTGTAGCATCCTCGGACGCTGGATGAAATATTTCTGAGTAAGCAGCGTGCGAGTCGGTAAAGACACGAAGGGGTTTCTGTATAGTGTATGGGAGGCTTGCAGTCGCTCCCCATATGGCAAGTAGTTCGGCATGCATAGGGGTACCGTTCGGTAGGTGGCACCTGTAGGCCCCAGTGTACTCGGTGGTCTGCGCGCAGATCCATGCTATACAAGCTTCGCCATCGGTAATGGCAGCGTTCGTGTGTATGTCGATGGTATCTAAGCTCGCTTTCCTGAGTTGTCGTGTGGCAAGAAACTGGCGGGCAGTATTATTGTGATGAGATATGGGGCATCGGAACAGTCGAGAGGCTATTGGAGTTTCCCATAAGGGTAAGGACTGATTAAGAAGAGGTGCATCATCATGCCGCTGACAATCCCAGGCGACGACCTTGCGGTGTGTTTTCCAGGCGGATGTGGTGTCGAGTGTTGGCTTCATGGATGATGTCTTGCAGAGAAACAAGCCCTTTGCGCTTTCAAGGGTGGATATCTTAGTTTGTTTAGGGGAGCCCCGTGATGGTACGGACAGTAGCCCGATGAAGGCGTTCCAAATTTTGGATGTCCGTTGGAGAGAGCGTGTATATGGGTGCGCCGTACAAAATCTTTACAACAGCCGCAGCTCTTGCAAGAGTGCGACAGGCTTGTTGTCGTGCACCTCCGTATTTGTTAGACAGACGACGTATCATATGTAACGTGGCTGGCCATGCCTGCCGCAGTCCACGCACCCACTTTTGTGGGCTGTTGCAGCTGGCTATTGGTAAACCGAGGACTTTGATTTGTCCGTTTTTTGATTGTATAGTGTGTCATTCAATATGGAGTGAGATACACATTTTCGGGTTGGTGTGATTCTTGCCATCTATGCTTATAAGTTCTTTCTTATGTGGAGCCAGCTGCAGGCCTACTTCCTTAAGAGTGGACTCCAAACTAAGGAAGGCTGCCTGCAGCTCAGTCTGCATTGATTCTTTGTCAGAATAATTCACTGCCTTTGTCCATATAGTAATATCATCGGTATAGATGGCGAATCTGGCCGTGGTGTCCCGTTCAAGGTTTTCTGCTACCCTGCTCATGGCCAGATTAAACAGCGTCAGTCCTAAAATAGATCCCTGTGGAACACCTATGTCTAAGTAGTAAGTCTTTGGGCTCCATCCAGGTGATGCACCGCTTAAGCGAATGGGCCGAGCGGCAAGGAAATTTCGAATCCATGTCTGCGCACGCTGACTTGGGTAGCGCTTAGCTAGTTCCTCAAGAATAGCGTTATGGTGAACATTATCGAACGCTTTCTGCATGTCGACGACCAGCAAGTAGTCAGGTAACATCTTTCTTGAGGTATGATTGATAACGCGCTGTAGCAGCCAAAGGCAGTCATGGGTGCCGAGGTTAGGGCGAAAACCTGCTAGGGCTGGATGGTATCCCGGCCGGGTTATCTCGAGGTAATGGGACATGCGTGTGTGTGAATCTTGCGTTCAATGAGCTTATATAAAGTAGACGTTAAAGATATTGGCCTGAGGTTCTTGCAGAGGGTCTTCTCTTTTCTATGTTTCGGAATAGGATAAATCAGAGACAGCTTAAGGTTCTCCGGAACATTTCCTGAGGCCCTGAGGTCATTGATTACCGCCAAAAGTGTGTCCTGGGCTTCATCTCCGAGGTTGCGGAGTTCTTGCCATGTGATTCGGTCGTGGCCAGGCGCAGATCGAGGACGCCCGTTTGATGGCTGCTAGCATTTCTCCCATGCTAAATGGGCGATCGAGATTCGGATCAGGTTGCGTTATGGTGCAGGCTTTCGGAGATGTAGGCGGAGTGAGTGAAGCGTCAGGAAAGAAAGTGGTAATAACTTTGTCTTCCACAACGGATGGATCTGCTTTGAGGAACAGCTCGGCCAGAGGAGAGTTGCGCTTTCCCTTCCCGCTCAGGCTACGAAAAATACGCCATAGACCTTGAAGGCCCGGTACACGGCCAAGGCGTTCGCAAGTGGATTGCCAGGCTTCACTTTGAAGTTGGAGCTGATATTCATAGATAAGCTTAAATTGGTGCTTAATTTTCATGGGGTCAGAGTGTCGTTTGCTATGCGAGCGGTATCTTCTGACTAAATAGTCTGCTGTTTTCCATAAATTGCCTAAATGGTTATCCATCGGCTGAGTATGGTCTTCGCATAGCACTGTTTCGCGTGCCAGCTCACGGGCCTGTTGAACAATGTCCAGAAGGCCCTCAACTATCGGGAAGGATACAATAACCTTACTACGAAAAGTATTCCAATCAGTCATCGTTGTTGTTTTGATTCGGAGGCATTTTTGATTAAGTGCCACAAATATCGGGAGATGATCACTGCCCCATGAATGGCTAAAGACTGTCCAGTGCCGTACAAATTAGGGGCTGGCAGGGGTCAGATCTGGGGTCGTGTCTCCCTGCGCTCTATGTAGTCCTATTCTTGTAGGGGTGTCGGGGGCGTTACAAATTTCTATAGAAGAGAGTTCAATAGCGTCATAAAGATATTTTCCACGTTTATTCGCCTTTCGGGCCCCCCAGGCTAGGTGATGAGCATTAAAATCACCTCCAATGAGCAGAGGGAGGTCCTTAGATGCTTGCTTAAGCGTCTCCAGCCACGTGTATAGTCCAACGGAAATATTTCCTGGGCGAAAATATGCAGACACGGCCACGAAGGGCTTTTGGCCAGGAGGACAAATTTTGACAGCTACTTTTTCGCGAGCATTAGAACTGAGATCAGGAATGTCTAATTGAGTGGCCGGGCAGTCATTCCGCACCAGAAGCGCTGCCTGGCCTTTGGGAAGCTGCCGCTTATGTTTTATGGTTGGTGTCTGAAAAGCACGGTAACCAGGAAGCGAGCACATCCTGCGCGTCTCCTGGAGAAGGAATAAGGGGCGATGCCTTTGAACATAATTACGGATAGTGGAGCACGTTTTATTAAAACTACGACAATTTCACTGCACCGCCTGAGCGAAAGAGCTCATGAGGAAGGCCCTGGTTTGTGGCGCTTATTGTCATCAGCGAGGACATTGCGCTGCAGTTCAAGAGGCCGACACCGTATTAGCGAGCAGGAAGGCAAAGCACTCGGCATGCAGGAGAAACTTGACTCGATTGTAAGTGTCTTGCTCTTCCTGGTGTTGCTTGTCACACACTTGTCGCCATGTGTTTGTCGGGCAGCAGCATGCGTAACCTTGGAGGCAGGTCATCGGAGAGCGACGGGACGGCGCATAGAGGGACGACACTGGACCGAGCTAAGGCGATACTTACAAGAGATTGAGCTCCTGCTTTTATTGCAGGTGGTTTTAAAGGAGAGGAAAAATAGGCGATTAATCGGTACGGCTCAGGTCACATGACCAGGATGTCCAAGCTGGGTTGGCGGCAGGAACAGACACGCGAGAGTCCAAGCTTCACCTAGTGACATGTACCGGAAGCTTCGCTGCACTGGTGCTCTTGCGTGCTATCAGGGGTCGCAAAACACAACAGTATGGTCATTATCATCAGCATGTCTACACCCTCTCCAGGGCAAAGGCCTCTCCCATGTTCTGCCAGTTGACCTCTTTCAGTGCTCTCTGCTGCCACGTTACGCCTGCAAACTTCTTAAACTCATCTGGGCACCTAATTCTGTCCCCTTTTCATGTGTTTACCTTCCCTTGGAATTCAGTCAGTCACCCTTGGCCTTAGTATACCAACACAAAATTTCGAAGCTGAGATAGCTTGCGGGATCGATTCGTGAACATGCATATATCATCTACAAAATGTCAACAGCGAATATAGCTTGGAAGGTATTTTAAGTTTTAAGCTAATTTTGCGTGAGCGATCGACTTGCCCGCACCATTGACAAGCTAAAAGGTGACCCTTAATGCCCCCCCCCCCCCCTTACCTATTTCATTCAGCAAGTTATGTAGACGTCATAGCTGTATTTTGCTTTTGCCGTCTTTGCACCAGCAAGCTATTTACTCGGCAGCAGCTCATGAGTCCGTGGCTGCAGTGCACGCATTGAAGTCTCTGTGTTTGGTGACACTGCTGTCCTATTTCCTGTTTGAAAAACTTATTGATGTGGACCGCGCAAAGTGCGTCACAGTTCTGTGTGCTTGGGATTGAAAGATGTACACGCTAGGTGGTGATAGTTGCGCTATGCGGCTTGTCGTTCTTTGAAAGTCTCTCAAACGTAAACTGAGACTAGTTGGTAATGAAGTGCCTGTAATTTATTATCTCTATCATGCTGCAGGAAACTATATGCCGTGTTATGACTATCAGGCCTTCAGCAACGCACTGCAGCAAGAAAATGCGAGGGAAAAATTTTTGTATCAGTACCCTTTTAATGACCAGCAGTTATCCTGCCTACACACTCCGTGCAAGGTCCATGTCCACTTATTCTCGATTTCAACTGAGACGCAGTGATGGTTTAGAGGTACAGCATGAGCCTTGCATGCAAGAGGCTTGTGGTTCGAATCCTGGTGCTATACAGTTCTTAACCAGAAGAAAAACTTCGCATGCCGATAGAATTGCATAAAAAATAGCCTGGGGTGCTTCCTCACTGGCAATCACATCCCGTAATGCACTCTCTCACCAGAGCACGATTGGCCACCTTGGTAACTACCTCCCTCATCATTACACCAATGTGCAGTAGCATATGCTAAAGAGTACTTCAGGGGCAGGGGGAGACAATCTAGACATAGTAAGCACATGTTGAGGGAATGGTTATCGTTCATCTCGCACGGCTTGTGCACTTGGGGCTGTAGTTCGATTGATTGATTGATTGATATGTCGGGTTTAACGTCCCAAAACCACCATATGATTATGAGAGACGCCGTAGTGGAGGGCTTCGGAAATTTAGACCACCTGGGGTTCTTTGACGTGCACCCTTGGGGGGGGGGGGGGGGGGGCTGTAGTTCACTCTCCATGGCCGGGGGCTGCAGGGGTTGATGTTCCCGGCTTGGATGAGACTCAGCCAGTCACACCTTTTCAGGACGGAAGACCTCGAGAAAGCAACGCGCATTCTCAGGGTCTCCCCAGAAAAGGAGGAAACGGGGAATCTCTGCTTCAGCCAGGGAGCAAAGGCTTTGGAAAACAACACAGTGCCCGCTCTCACGCAACTCCTCTCGTCACTCACACATGTGAACGTAGCATGAAGCTGAGGCGCCGTGGTGTTGAAGTCTATGCAGTATGTGTGCAACCACACAAGCGTCTGCTAGTGGCAACTAAAAAGCTGTGGTGGCTTTTGGTTGTGTTGTGCATTTTAGTTGTAGATGTCGAGAGACCGAAAAATTTCTTTCTTGATTTTACAAGCTTCCCTTTTCAACAAAATAATTCAAGCACATTTGTACATCATTAAATTGAGTTGCAACTGTAATAGATTGAGCTGCTCGAAATGTCACAATGTGGGCTCATTGACAGCCAAACATAGTTGTCTTCACATGTTAGATTAACATGCTATATGCACAGCTACAATTTAGCTTGTGTTGCAAAGAGGGGAGATCCTTCTTTCTGTTCGCAGGTGATGGACAATTTCCTCATTCAAGTTAAAGGCAAAAAGAAAGCTGTATTGTTCCATCCAAATGACTTTGAGTACCTTTACATACAGGGTAAGTTACATGAGTTGAGACAGTCATGCCGAAGTGTCCAACTACAGATTTTCATCTTAGGTGACAAATCCCTTGTTCTGGATCTGGAGTGTCCAGACTTAGCAAAATTTCCCAAGTTTCGAAAAGCTACTCGTTACGAAGCTACACTTACTTCTGGTGACATATTATTCATACCAGGTAAGCTCTCGTTGTCGGTAATAGGCTCATGTCAATTGATTTGTGCCACTCTTGTTACAGCATTGTGGTTTCATAACATAACTGCTCTGGATTTCGGAATTGCTGTCAATGTGTTCTGGAAGAACCTGGATGCAAGTTTGTATGACAAGAAGGATCCCTATGGGAACAAGGACCTGATTCCTGCTTCCAGTGCTCTCACTTTGGTGGAAAAAGCAGTGAAACAGCTGCAGCTACTTCCACTTGATTGCCAGCAGTTCTACGCACTGAAAATGATTTCACATATTAAAAATCACTTTGGTCTATCTTGACAGTTTGAGGGTAGTACACCTTCCATGTCTGTCTTCTCTTAAATAGACCATGTAATGCTCATGAGAAAGCTAATTAAGCACCTTGTGCACTTACTCTACCTGTTACAAAAGTCACTCTGTGACTGCTGGACCAAAAATGTTGCTTCTAATGCATTACCTGGCAATCTCTACATACACAAGTTTGAACACCACCTGTCAAGAAAGCAACAACGATTAAAGTAACATTTCTTTGTAGTTCTTTATTGTTCAATATAAAAACTGAAAAGCTAAGTGGTTTAAAGGTATTGCTGCAAAACAACCACGGCTTATGTTTACTGCCTGATAGAGGTCACACTCGGATTAAGCCAGCCAAGCCTCTTTGTGGCACCAGCCATGTTACAGCAGAGAAGTCTCAAGAGAGTTCTAAGGTATGGCAGTGTGGCTAGAGTGTACTAAAAGTTCTCGGCAGGCGGATCTGCAGGTGCTTGTGGATTGGTGGGGTTCGCTCATACAGTCAGCTGTTAGCAGCATTAGCCCGTAATGGGTGCGCAAGTGCTTCTGCCTCTGTGTGCTTTGTTGGGAGCCTTGAATGCCTAAATGAGCGACGACTTCAGCATGTCTAAAGCTAGGCTTCCCAGTCAAAAAGTGTCCTGCTGGTCATACCAGTTCCTAGCCATCGGTCTGAAATAGATTGAATTGTAAACCAACTGGGATGACGTGCTTCAGTGTGTAGGACCAATTGGAGCACACAGTTCCGATTGGTCATTCCAATTGGTCCACGGCTTCTCACTTGGTCTCCCCACTGGAATGCTTGGCCGTCAAATTGGTTGCACACATTTCATTTCGAAAACTATTGGAACCGTGCATCCAGTTGACCTCCCAATTGGATGTGCACATTCACATTCGAATTGGGAAAACATTTTTCAATTGGAGTTATATATTAAATGACCATGCATGTTCAGCTGGTTGACCTGCTGGACACTAGTTTTATTCAACTGGTTGCCCCCGCTCGCGCATGCGTGCGTGTGTCATGCTTAAGTTCTGTGATGTCTGAAATTTGAGTAAGAAAGTCAATTTTTTTAACATATGTTCGAAAGTCATGAAACAGCTCACTATCTACTACAAACCTTTCTTTCCACTTCACATCTTTCCGACGTGAGCAGCTGCGCTTGTTAAAATAAACTTCAAAGTAAAAATTAATTTTTTATATTGTTCCTTGCGCTGCAGCAAGTGCCATCAGCATAGTCACTGCGATCAGACGTCGCTCTATCGCCGTGATAGTAGCAATAGACATCAAGGAGGTTTGAAAAAAAAAAAATGCTGGAGTGAAAGCTCCCGCAATACTTTGCCAGCAAAAGTGAAGCCAGCTTTTGCCCTCCAAAAATGTCAGAAACATGCTTTTTTTCCGTGAGTGCCCACGTGGAGATCAAGTGGCTTTCATAGATTAGTGTAAATGCTACGTTAATTCTATATTGAAATATAGTTGTTCCCAGCATAGGTCGGTGAGCTCACTCAGACTGATCGAGTCACGAGTCTGGGCCGCGAACATTTTGGTAAATACGAGTTCAAATGAGTCCGGCTTCGTGAGTCTGAGTGAGTTCAGCCCATGAAACTTTTTGGTGAGTCTTTAGTCGGAGTCCAAAGTGCAAAATATATTTCTTCAGTGAGTTCCATTTTCTTTTGTTGACTTATGGTCCTATCTGTACACTTTCCAGCATTACTATCAGCCTTACCTAGGCTCATTACTACTCCCACATATTCCAAAGAAGTGTCCTTCATACACTATTTTAATATTTAATGATCAGACGCACGAATTAAATGCATGGGTGTCTTGATTGCCCCTCAACCAACTCTTCCAGGGAATTTCTTAATAAATATATCTTATGTTGTGATCTCTTCCATGAAAAAATAGCGTACTCATGACTCACTTCTGTTTAAAGCTATAATCAATCAGTGCAAAGAAGACCACCGATTACGTGAGGTATTGGTGCTAAACAGCACAGACACCAGGTATAAAGTTAATTAAAATCTGAAGGACTCGTGAGTCAACACTCATACTCAGACCAAGCCGTGAGTGTGAGTGAGTTTGGGCACAGAACACCTGGGCGCGAGGCCCACCACTGGAGGTGCAAGCGCTGCAATTGCTGACGCGCAGGGTTGAATCACGTGATCCTGCCTCGCCGCAGAACACCCTAGCTCTGTCGAAGGAAAGCTGGCGGTTGGATGTGTTGGTTATAACGACGACTTCGCGGTGTTTTCATTGTTGAACAACGTTGTATTGGTCTGACTTCATCTGTGCGGACTTCAAAGTACAGGCATCACACGATGTAATTCCGATGGCTATACAGTCTAAGTTTCTTCATTGCGTTACATGCGGAGATGAGTCAATAACGGTGCAGTAATTCGCTTTCGATAGGAATTGTGACACCCGCATGCTCAATCAAGCCTCACTATTCGCTTCCATGGCTGCGCGAGCGATGAAAAAACATTCGAGTTTGAGCGTGCGGATATCACCCCACGGCGATGCCTCCTACAAGAACTATGCCTGGAATGCGTGTCGCCTTCGTACCAAAGGAGGAGGGTAAAATCAGAGGGTCGGGCAGCGCGTTCGTGGCTCACGTTCCAGGCATAATTTTTTTAGGAGGCGTTGCCCACAGTTTCTGTGCATGGAGCAATATGTGACTGCATACTAGTTGGTATTCCACACTTCAAACTGCTCAGTGCTAAACACAGCAACACAAGGGAGACGAGGATTATCGCCGACATCCAATTGAAATTTATCACAATTCCAAACGTGTTGCCTTACACGCGAGATTAAAACAACAAGAACAAAAAATGAAGTGAAGCATTAAATCAGAGACCAAAAAAAAAGAAAAGCGGTGACATAGAACCAGCCAATGAATCCAGGTAAGCCAGTTCTTTGCAGTCAAAAAGTATTGAAGGTTCTGGGTGTCATCATGAGGATGAGTGGTAGGTAGGCAGGTAAGCAACTTTATTGATCTACGGTATAGAATCATGTGAGGGACGGCGACGGACGCGGACAATCTGGAAAAACCACGTCGCCGGCTCCTCTTGACACAAAAGTCGTTGGCCAAGCTTTTGTCAGCCGCCGAGAGCAACACTCCGACGCAGCGTCGACCCAGCAGCTGTACGGGGTATTCTGCCTTGCTTGAGTCAACCTGGCTGTATCAGGGAGCGACTTTGCGCATGGGATTCCACGTCATCTCACTGTGGTGCCACGCTGGCGCGTGGGGTCTCCCTCACCAAACAGCGAACTGGGCATGTCTTGCCCCTTTCCTAGGTTCAGAGGGAGGCGGTGTTTGGCTTTCCCTCTTCGGGGACGGAGAGGAAGACGACGATCTCATTGGAGTATCCTGCGCATAAATTTTCTTTGCAAGGGATCTTGGGAAGGCGGACGATGGATAAAAACGCTAGCGCAGAGGCGCTCGTGTGTGATTCTCTTTTCATGTTGTACCACGCTACCATGTAAATACTGTATATAAACATTTTTTTCTCCTTCTCCGGCTTCTCTACTCGTCCTCTCCGGGGACTCGGATGGCCCGAGTCCGCACCACGCTACCCAAAGGAGCAACAGTGGCTGGCAGCTTATGGGATTCGCCTGCGTCGGCTGCATCGAAGTGGTGAGTGCCGCGTGTTTGCTCTTCTTTTCGCCAGACTCGTTAGCGCAGATGGTCGGTAACGTGGTAGGGTGATTTTGGTAAATTTTGATTCGCAGACCAAGAATTGGGTGGCTCGTGGGCAAAATTACCTTAAAAGAGAAACGGTGTGCATATCTAAGATGGAGAAGTTTAAGGTCCAAGAACTCCTCGAAATTTGTCAGGAGCTGAATATTTCGGTCGGCTCGGTTAAAAGAAAACAACAAATTTTGGAGCACTTGGGAAAAGAGGAAGTGAGTTTAGAAGAGGCCATTGAGGCCAGAGAAACCATTTTGGCAAAGAAAGAGGAGCGTGAGCGCTTAGCCCGTGAACAAAGAGAGGAGGAAATAAGGAGGGATCGCGAGGATAAAGAACATGAAATCCGTCTGAAAGAACTGGAGCTTCGTATGTCCGTGGGAAATCAAAATTCAGGGGGTGGAGAATCAAAGATAAAGGATCTAATCCACACCTTCAAGGCGGGTGACGACATTGCATTATACCTCGTGCATTTTGAGCGAGCATGCGAAAATGCAGGGTTTAGTAGGGAGACTTGGCCACAAAAACTGATATGCGTACTACCAGGCGAAGTGTCCGATGTTATCGCAAGAATGAATAAAGAGGACTCCGAGGTGTATGACAGGGTAAAGGCTGCATTGCTACGAAAATGTCGCCTATCGACAGAGGCTTTCCGCCTGCGGTTCAGGCACTCTAAGAGGGGCAACGAATCTCATTCAGACTATGCCTACCAAATTAGAGCCAACTTTGAAGAGTGGCTCAAAAGCGCGCAAGTCTATGGCAACCATGACAAGGTCATTGAGTTGATGGTACTTGAGCAGTTTTACCGGGGAATTCCCGAGGAGGTAAGGCTTTGGGTGCAGGATAGGATGAAAGACGTAGACATGAACAGGGCAGCAGAACTCGCCGAAGATTACTGCTCACGCCGTAGTCTCCGCAATACACCACGAACTTCGGAAAAAAATGAAAAGGTAGAAAGCTGGTCGGGAAACCAGGGACGCAAGAGGTTTGCAAGAAATAACTGGAAACCCGAAAATTCCAAGTTATTAGACAATCAGCAGGGAAAGGACAGTGAGGGGACTAAGGCGGCACCTTCGTCAGGTTCAAAGGCGCCTGGTGACATAGCGCATGCGTTAGAGGCGCGGAAGCCAGTTGTTTGCTACAGCTGCGGAGAAAAGGGCCACATGGCCAGGAGCTGTAAGAGGCACATGGCATTTGCCACAATTCAGGAGTCAGAGGATAGCTTAAAGCTGTTGAAGCCTTACATGAGGACACTCTCAGTGAACGGCCGAATGTGTAGGGTATTGAGGGACTCGGCGGCCACAATGGATGTAGCGCATCCAAGTTGCGTATCTTCCGAAGACTATATAGGAGAGTGTGCCTGGATTCGGCAAGTGGCAGAAAAGCAAAGCGTCTGCCTACCGATAGCGAGGGTTGTAATCGAGGGCCCTTTCGGCCAATTGTGTACGGAAGCAGCAATTTCAGCCAACCTCCCGGAGCACTTCCCTTACCTATTTTCAAATAAGTCTGAGGAAATGTTAAAAACACGTGGAGAATCATTTGCCACCGAAATAGCTTGCATGG